GAACAAAATTATACAACAACACTGTTGAAACAAGTAGGCTAACTTTGTTGTACTAGAGGACAGAGATGAGAACAATGCTGCAAATTATTTTAAAAGATGTTAGTATAGATCAGTTTTCCTGTGTGTCAAAATCAAAGTACAGTGTACAGCCTTAACGATTGTTTACTTCAAAATAGGAATATCGAGAAAGTCATCATCTCATATCTGGATCAGTCAAAGGATTGTCACTGGCTACTTCGCTTATTACTAGGACACTAACATGACAGAGAATCATGGGAACCTAAAATAGAAATCCGGGAGATCACCGATTTTACCTTCTTGACCCTAGAATAAATTGGTCAATTAAAATTTAGAGCGCTGCCAACTCAACCACCAAAATGCATCAATATCCAAAAAATTTTCCAACGAAAATGTGAAAAGTGGGCCAAGATATGTCTGAAACTGTATTTTATGGGTTTTTTTCGTATTGTCTAGGAGGTTTGGTGACCCATATAGGTGATGGGGAGATTCGGTTTGTATCCGGTAGAGTTGGCACAGCCAGTACACCACAGTGGAAGTGCCTTACTGTATTCATTACAATATATTTGCCCAACACTATTTTCTCAGAGTGATTTATTTTTAGATGAGTCTTATTCAGCAAAATGTCTTTTTTCTTTTCACTACTCCTTTCATCTGCACTGCTTAACTGTCAAGTAAATACTTAAGCTATCACTTGGAAAGTTGTTGAACTCTCTGTAGGAGAATCATTGCTTGTGTTCACCATTTATTTACTGGTTGAATGACTCACAAGATTAAGTTACCTGCTATGTTATTAGCATATTTTTACCAAATTGTTTGTGATTGGTTGTCCACAACCAATTTGTGGTAATTTAAAGGTAATAAGAATGCAATTTAAGGGTAATAACACTTGTGAAAATGCCACTTGGTGTGATCTTAAAGTTGTTCAGTCCTAGTAACAGACTATTGAAGAAATTCAACTGGTATTCTAGTACCTATTCCCTCCTTCCAAGAGTATAAAATGTATTCTGAACAAGAATTATGTCGTTCATGATGGTCAAAGGTAAAAAATCGCAATTTACTTCATGATCTTGGCCAGCGACTCTGCTTGGGTATTTGTGTGATTCTTAAGGAAGAGATGATAATATCAGTCACATCAGCCTACAGTGTAGTTCAAAGCTCTGTGACAAATTATCTTGGTCGTGGGGAAACATTTTTGTTAAATACAATCTTCATCCAATTTAGTAAGAGAGAAATAGTTTTAGTTGCTTCATAGAACTAAAAGGAAGGTACTGTATTTCCTTAATTGAGCATCCACCCTTGATTTTAATCACTCCTCCTCAAATTAGCTCCCTCATAGAATTTTGAAAATAATATTTTAGGAGACAGCATGGCCAAGTGTCTAAAGCACTAGGCTTGAAATCCAGAGACGAAATGTTCAACTACCTGTTCTAACTACTTGGTGTTGTCCTTAAAAGTAATCCTTTTGTATCTGCTATTTATTTATTTGTGGCTATTTGGTAATCAAATGGTGATGTGTGAAATTAAGAAATAATTTCACATGCATTTTGTCAAAATTCTCATAATTTCCCCGAGCCTTTATTCAAAGGAAATTATTAGAATTTCATGAGCATACTATTTGATTACCTTTTAATATCATAGCTGACAAATAACACTTAGAATTATGGTTTTTTGACCTGTTTATTGTCTCAAGAGTGAAGAAATTTGGTGCCAAACTTTTCCATGGCAATTTTGTAATTTCATATGTGAAATTATAAATTAATGTTGAAATTTTCTATCATGCATACGTTTTATAATGTTGGTCAGTATTTGTTTGCATTGGCCCTGAAATGTCCTGTTGGAGGAGTGATCGATTAGAATATTTTAATTTATTTCGAAATTTACGATTTAAAACCATGTGTATCCTTTCAATAAATATTCAGAATTAATATATCAAGTCAGGTGTCAGAATTAATCTAGTTTCCTAGACATTAGAGCACTTACACCAACTGGAATGAAAACAGATTTTTTTAAACTTCCCTCATGCGTTTCTTGTAATTTTAGCTTCCCTAGCTAACTCAAACTAAAGTTGTTTTACTTTTTGGCCATTTTCTGGCTAACTTTTTACCTCAGTAAACCATACCTTATTTGATAAGTTGTAATAACTTTTAAATGTTTTGCAGAACATTGAATCAACTTGAGCAGCATGCGTTTGTTGTCATTTTTTAATTAATAATTGATATGTGTATGTTTCTGAGATTTAATTTAATTTGTTCTTATTTAGATTCAAGTCCTTCTTCAATCCAAAATCTTCTGAATGGAAGTAGGAGGTCATTGGAGACTGAAGCTTCCCCGTCACCAACACAAGTAAGAAGTCCTTATAGAGAAACAACACCAGATTCCAACAGATCAACCAATAGCAGAGGCTCATCTGCAGAACCTCTGTTATTAATCACCCCATCCTCAAATCGAAATGGCTACAGTCCCGTTACTCCCAGTGATCAAACAGAGTCGTTCCGCCAGCGTCGTAACACCAACGAACTCTTACTCTATGGCCAAGAACTTGTTTGCACTGACACTTACATAGGAAGGAGGGTGGATGAACTAACTGTAAATAAAGGTGACTGGATTTATGCTGACATGAAACACAAAGATAGCAGAGGTTGGATGTGGGCGTATTCACCATCAAACAAGACACAGGGCTATGTACCTAGATCCTGTGTACGACCTCCTGCAACCACTCCTCTGTGATGACCAAATGCATCTGCTTCGGGGAGGGTCTGAGGGGGATTGCTGCCTTTCTTCACCAGTCCTTTATGGAAATTTGGAAGAATGAGCAATAGCTGGTTTGCAATCATTCTCTAAGAATTTAAATGACAGAGACACTGGTGGCTATGTTGGATGCCAGAAAAACTAAAGCTAAATAGAAATTCTTTAGTTAACAGTCATCCGACATGGTGGCCATGACATCAGTTGCAAACAATCTAGTCAGTAATATCATTCTTTACGCATATGTTTGCAGGCGTGTCCACAAAAGTGTTTTGTACAGTACAGAATAGTTTTGATACAAGCAGTATTATTTCTTTTCCAGAATCTTTTCTTTATTGGATATGGCTGGAATTATTTTGTGAAGAAATGCTCTAATATATATAATACATGTATATAGCAATTTTATGCTAATATAATGAAGAACAAAGTATAGCATCCAAATGAAACAAGAAAATCATAAAACTATTTGCACTTTATTTCACAGTTCTTACAAATGTTCATGAATTAACCACATGTTTTAAAGTAATGGCAATCTGGGTGATATGTTCCTTTGTAGAGAAGTTCCAAAGCCATGTTTTCTTCATTAGCTATGACAAAAAAAATTGATACTAAATTGAAGTAATGTGTCATAATTTTTGCATGTAAGTTATAGGGCTGTGATTAAGTTTTGAGTCAACTTTAGCCTTGATCTTCACACCTTTAAAAAACGTGTTAACTTTTTGGTGAATTGTATCAACTATAGTCCAGTTCACCCATAACGTCAAGGGTCCATCAAACATACTCAGCCTTAGCAGGTATTACAGGTTACAGCCCTTAATGACAGCCCTGACTTATAGGGGCCATGGAGCCTAGACAAGCAGTCTTTTTTCTAATACTATTTGAGCGTAGCTAATTGCTTGCAGGTTTTAAAGAGTCTAAGAAACCTTTATAATGGAAAAGGCCCTAACGGAATATTTTAACAAAATGTACATTCCATTTTATGGAGTCTTGGAATAGCCTGCAAATTTGGGCATAAATCATAGCATTTTGCTTTTTAGACATTAAGTAACTTTTTCAATATTTTTGTCACTGATTAAAATTGCCTGTTGTTATAAAATGTTTTGACTAGCGTGCAATGTCACTCATGTTCTATCCCTGGCC